CACAATAAAAAAGCTACCAATTCAATAAAAGATATTAAAATATATTAAAAACGAGTTATTTTATAAAGAAATAAAACCCTTTTTATCCGTGCCTTCATAGTGCTATGAAAACCTCGGCCTTCGGTCTCGTGCTTCACTGATCTACTCTCAAATTCTCCCAAACAAACGCCTCGGTTTTCATAGCGCTATGAAGGCACGGAAAAATGTTTTATTTCTTAATTGGAAAAATCGGGAGGCTGAGTTGGGGTTTAAAAAGGAGAACATCAAAATGAAAAAGAAAAAAGAAAAAAAGAAAGAAGAAATAGTGAGAGGGAATAGGTTACCTGATACCCCTCTTTCTCAAGCCCCCGCTGATTAAAGGTCGCTAAATTCCCGCACGTGGGTGCAAAAGTTTCAAGATGGCGGATTTGTGTACATATTAATAAAAGAATTTTCTTGCTGTACTTTTAGGTCAATGATGAGTCTTTGCCTTAAATTAATCTCTTACTAATTATACCCTATTGCTTAGTGAAAGTTAGTGTTAAAAATTAAGCTTTTCATAAATCAAAAAGAAAATGATCAGCATAGAAATTTGGGGGACTTTTCACATCGCATGACTTTTCCCATAAACTGTTCCGTAAACGTTTTATGGTATAGCATCGAAAAATCCTAAAATAACACTTAAACTATCTGGAAATCTCAGTAAAGATTTAAAATACACATATGCGATGTTTAGTCTCCATGAACAAGAATGAACATTCAAGGGGACAAACTTGTTGGGTTAAGCATCCTACCTTGTTTCTTTATTAGAGAACTTTTTGAGCACACTTTTGCCAAGATCGAAACCCAATCGCTCGGCTATCAGTCTGGCAATKACAGGGTGCGAATTCCCTCCGAATATCTTGATATTTGGCATGATTTTTGGCTTTGGAACTGACGATTTATCTGCTGTCGGAGTCGGAGTCTGGTTTTCTTCAGAGCAATGCATCGAACATGTGCACGTCCCAGGCTACTCGATCATGCAAGGAACGCCTGTCGATTTAGGCAACAATGTGACTGGGAACGAGTACTCGAGTTACTCGTGACAGCAAACGGTCCAATAATAATGGAAAAACCAGAGTAAAATTAGTAAATTTTCAAGTTGACTGTCAGTAACACAACGATAACATTAAGCGAAAAACAATCTTACAACAAATAGACGACAAATAATGTTTCTCATCCCGACTTATAAAAAAATACGAAACAAATAAAATATAATTTAAATTAGTATAAACATATTAATGGTCTATCACTCATACTGCGCTGTGATTGGCTACTCTACTAATGGTCTAATTTGTGATAGAGTATACCATGCACCAATCNCTGGCCTTTTGGTTAAGACTAAGTTTTATGTTCACTCGGGATAGCGTGGAAGAGCCGAAATCTCTAACCGTAACGTAAGCCGATTCGACGCCTCAGCTTCATAGAATGTCTCGGGGGAATCGTCCCATATTTTTAGTTTTTTATTTTCATTATTTCTTATGTATTCAGGGGGGGGTACATCTTCTCTTGAAGTGAAAGTTCTGAGTTCGAGTCCTGCTTCTGGAATTTCTCTATTTTCGCTTGTTTATTGTTTCTTTTTCGTTCGTTTTTTGTTTTGTTTTCTTCTTTCTTTTTTCCTTTTCTTAGTCTTTGCTGTTGTTACTTCATTTGTTTTTCTCTAGATGTTTCCTCTTTTCAACTTTAAAAACATATCAAGGACTCGCAAGGAACGCCTGCTACAAGTGGATGGTTTGCGCTTGACATAGTGACGAGAGGCCCCATAATGCATTTCGTCACAAAAAGCATGCGTCCCCCTCCCCCTGCTGCTATACTGTCATTAGCAGTATAATACAAGCATGCAAATGCAACATTATCAAGGTCTATCAACGAAAGCCCAAGCTTATCAAGCCTGGAATTTTTATATTAATATTAATCAATTATCAATTATTAGTAACATTTATTTATTTATCGGAATTGTGCTAAGAGATTTTTATTGTCGTCTCAATAATAAAATAAATACATTTTGGTTTTGTTCATGAGCTAGTCTTTCCATTCCATGTAACAGTTTTTCCATCTGAAAAAAGTAAAAGAAAAAAAATTGATAGGCCATGAAGCTGTTTTACATGCACTCCTTACCTGTCACAAAATGCTCTGAAAATCACGCTATCGAACTGTCAGAAATAATAACACACAATTGATCACAGGTCAAAGTTTGATTACTTTTCATAGAATTACAGGCTTGTGATTAAACATATCTGACATGAAGCCATGCCGGAGACGTATTAAGTTCGTTCTAAAGACAAGATAGATTGATTTCATACGACGAAAAGTCCTCCCATTTTCCTATCGTACTCGATGTAAATCACTTCCAAAAGTAAAAGCCTTGGCTTGTCTACAAATTCGAGGCGGATTCATGGGAATTCGAGCCAGCTGTTTAGATTAACAGATTGAGTTTCAAACAAATGAGTTGGTTTAGATGTCGCGAGTCTTGAAGCAAAGAAAGGGTCGAAACTAAAGCTMAAGGACTGATACTTCAAAGGACTTGAAATTGTACGATCATTGTATGCAAGTCATTTCAAAACGCGAACCACATCATCGATTCTCAACGAAAATGTCCATCCTTGTCCGATTCCTCGTGGTGGCATTGTGGTGTCTCGTCAGTTGTCTCGTCCTTCAATCAGGTAACCAAACCAGTATGCATACCACGTGCTCATTTTCAACTCAGTACCAGGGTAGTAAAGAGGTATACAGTTTTTTGCAGTGATCCCCTATCCAAGCGCTAAAGGTGTGATGGTTGATCCAAAATAACGACAATTTTCATGCCCTATTCCGCTTGCCAATCCCTGATGTTGTGATCCCTATTCCAAGACACTGATCCCGATTCTCAGCTCCTGTCCCCCAAGCCCAAACAAATCACGAAAATGTCCTCCCAGAGTCCCCACAAATGACCGGAAAAATGTGATCTTGATCCACAAAACAACGCTGATTCATGATCCCATATACCTCGTTACCACCCTGCAGTATTTCACAGTTGGTGATAAAAGGATGTACACTATATAATAAAAGAGAGGAAACTTACTGATGTTTCGATTCTTATTCTTTCTACTCTGATAGATCACTGGAAAAAATCGCGCGCTTTAAAGGTTGTAAATTTGATGTAAATATTATGTAAGTGTCCAAAATGATGTAAATTTGATGTAAATTTACATCAAATTTAAGCATCAAATTTACATCATTTTGGACACTTACATAATATTTACATACAATCAAATTTACAACCTTTTAAAGTGAACGATTTTTTCCAGTGGATCCTACTGACGAAAGACAACCATACTGACTGGCGACAACCGAAACATCAGTAAATTTCTATATTTCTATAAAATTAGCATAAATCTGTCGTATAGTATGTACCACTATTCAACTAGTCAACTTTTGAGTGTTTTCAGGTCCACTTTTAGCACAAATTAGTACTTCTTAGATTTTGTACAGTTGCACGGTTTAAGTGCGATCATTCTACTCTAGTGTGTCTTCTCTAGCACTATTGATCCCTAAATAACTCTTGCCGTACTGTTGCACGGTTTTAGTGCTTGTAATCCGTAGACATGGCACGGTACTCTGGTGTCACCTGACCACCATCTATCCGCAAGAACAATCTCTTACCGTCTAAAACACATAGAAAAATTAGTGTTATTCAAGAACAAATCCATTTTGCCAAAAACCGCATAAGGCTGGGTAAACTTGCTTTTTGTCACTCATGTTTACAGAAGTATTGTCCAATCGGACCATTTTTACATACTTCCAAGACCATAATGCATATGAATTTGTGTCAAGTGTTCAGGAATGAAAACTTTGAAATGATGCAGTCGCGTAAATAACCTAACCGAAAATAGTAAAATATTGATGAATATTATAAGATTGCTATTCATCACTGACTATTTGATAATTGCTTGCTTCTTGCTAATTTCAAGTGGGACAACAGTTTTGAAATTAAATATAGGCCAACTAAAATTTAATATCCAGACTTTTATCTTTGGCACAGTAATGTTGTGTATTGTATGTAGATGTGGACCTAACTTCACTTCAAAAAACTGATGTTAATAATTCTTTTTAGTTTCAGCAATCAACTGCTATATTTGTGTTTCCAAGAAATCCTGGAAAGACTGCGAATACAAAACAAAAACAATGAATTGCTCCTCGTCCAGTGGCATGGAAATAAATGTCTGTGTTTCGTTTTTTCGACAAGTCGGTAATCGCACCACGTTTATTAGAAGATGTGGCAACAGCGAGAAGTGCAAAAATATCGAGAGTTCGTGCCGAGGACACGGTCTGCATTGTGATGCCGTGCAGTGCTGTAGTACCGATTTGTGCAATCATCCATCTAGTAGCCCCTCATTTTCTCTTGGTAGCCCTCATCATTCGTTGAGTTTCTCCCTCCTTTGCGCCTGCGCTTTGGTTGTTACAGTATTGACATGGGTAGAGTAACAAAACAAGCCCCAGAAAGAAAACGAAAAGACAACTGCCAGTAGAGTTGTTTTCCGTCGACGACGATAAAATAGACTAGCATCTTACTTAGTATAAACATTTAAGGTTATCACCCATGGCATGGAATCCGGAATTCGACAATTTTGGCTCTGGAATCCGCAGAAATTGAAACTGATCCGACTGCAAAACAAGAGGACTCCGGATTTGTGATTTCAAATGTTTCCTAATTATAAACGAGTCACTTATAACGAAAAAATTAGAATCCCGGACTTGATGGAATGTGGAATCTAGGATCTACGAACGTTCGGGATTCCGTGTCAKGAAGAAGCCAAGACACGGTTTAGGATGTCCGTGTATCAATGTAAATATGTTTAAATTATAAATTCATTTAAGAATATCTATATTATATGATAATCTATATTTGATATATCAAAACACGACCACATTGCATGCCGGTTTGTGTGGTCAAGCATCATTTAGCATAATTTTTTTATGTGATATTTCGTTCTATGCACAGGTAACCCATATTGAGACTTTAGTTTTTTTATAAACATTTAATTTACACAATGTTAAAAACGACATAAATCTGATTGTAACTGAAAAATATAACCATATGTCAAGCTATCTATCGGTTATACTCAAAAAGCGTGAAAACGCACTACCCAAATAGTGCTAAATGGTGCAATATAGTCTAGATATCACCATGGTTACTAAGCTAATAATATAGTCTAGATATCACTGGTTACTAAGCTAATAATATAGTCTAGATATCACTGGTTACTAAGCTAATAATATAGTCTAGATATCACTGGTTACTAAGCTAATAATATAGTCTAGATATCACTGGTTACTAAGCTAATAATATAGTCTAGATATCACTGGTTACTAAGCTAATAATATAGTCTAGATATCACTGGTTACTAAGCTAATAAACACTGGAGGACCCTAAGTCATTAAACCAAACAATGTTTCTTTTTGGAGTGTGACTATTGCACTCTCTTTACACTGAATATTAATAATTGTTTATAGTCCGATGAAAAACGCTCTAACTCGTTACAATTTAGCACTATTTCATGGTAGTAAAGTTTTTATGGTTTTAGTGTTTTCTTTTGTACTTGATATACAGGAATGTTAAAGCTGGCTAATGAAATATTCAAAGGTAAAATTAAGATTAAATTAAAATAAAAATTGTTCATAAGCAGTCAATCAATAAAATCTAAAGATTACATTATGTAATGAATTGTCTTTACTRTCTAAAAAAGTTAATAAAACTCACAGGCTAACAGTCACRTCATCACCTATCAGGACAAAAGGAGCCCAGAAACTYGGTTGCTGATATTGCACCATCTCTCTCATTTCTTTCATGGCTTGCTGGAGACTTTTACTTGCGCTYTTYCCTTGTTTCAATTGCRTGTAGAACTTTTGCATGAACACTCTCGTAACCTCGTCATCTACATCCCACAAGGACGCTACAACTGCAAGGGCACCGGCAGCAAGAAACGCTTGACTCATTCCAATCACTCCATCTGACTTRGTTTCATCACGACCCCTATCATGACAACAGCTCAACACAACAAGTTTTGCTCGTAATCCAATTTCTTGCACTTCGCTGATTGTCAACAGATAGTCGTCCTCTGAAGGTATGGTTTGTGTTCCCTTAAGAGATCCGGGTGGACTGAGTACTATTTCTCCACTGTCTGCACATCCATGTGTTGCAAAGTGAATGACAGCAACACCTTCCATGAGCCGTTCCTTGATAGTTTGCTTGGTTGCTTGTGCTCCTAATAGTGCATTCACACCAAGAATACAACCAATCTCTTCAGCTTCGAGCCGAGCATTTGGTAATGGATTAAAATATCTTTCCTTGCCTTTCAACATTCTCTTCCCCTCGACGTCAGGATCACCAACGATGATCGCACCTTTCATGAAGTGCGATTCTGCTGAGGATTCTTTCAGGATCTTTAAGGTGGTAAGAGAGGGAGCAATGCGAATACATTTTGTTTCTGACAAATACCTGTGCGTCTTTGGGTCTCGTAGAGCTGCAAAAGGGACTTTGAACAAAGATCCTTCGGGGATGATGACGATTTCTTCGTGGGTAAGCTCGTCCTGTACTGGAGTGATAAGTGCATCAAAGAGCACTTCAAAGTAATGGTCGTCAAGTTCTTCATCAAAAGTATTTCTCTTGCTGGTCTCAAGTTCTTGGGACGAGCCTTCATCATTGTCAAGCGAACCAATTAAATATTGGCTGAATGATCGATTCTCAGCTGTTGATMCATCTGTTGATCCTCTAGCAGACATCGTATTGTAGGTTATATCAACTACGTCATGAAGGACGTCCTTGCTGTCCTGATCTATGTCTTCCTCGAGAGATTTTGCCTTTAGTAATTCTTTGATTTCTTTAAGCTCGTTGCGATAAAAGGAAGGACGATTGTCCAAATCAAGAACCCATGTTCCAACTTGCAATTCAGAATTACTTCTTCTCATTTTCATAAGATCAGAGAAAAGCAAGATAGAACAATTTCGAGAAAGTACTTTGTTGACGATGTCAGCATATCCAAGGAAGTCGTAATGTGTATCGACGTTCTTGTCTATCTTGTATTTTCCCGTCAAAAGGTCTTCCAAAGCACGTCCTCGTTCTTGCTCCGAGACCAGCAGTGCTCTTTCAGGTTGTCCAGTTTCGATGTAGAATTCCACAAGTAGTTTCTGTGTGTAGACTAAGGTATCAACCAAATTGACCTTATGTTGATCTTGTTCTCCAATGTCTTGAAAAAGCAAGTCGTACCATTTTAGACTCTCTTTAAGGTAGTTTTCTGCCTTTTCCTTGTTTTGGACGACTTTTCTTCTAAGAAACTGAAAGAGGAAAGCAGTTCCAAGGTTTCTGCAGGCTTTTCCAGCTGCATTTTTGTCACCAATATCCGTAGCGATGTTGAGATGTGCTGTATGATAGTGGACAGCCATTCGATAGTTTTTGATGTAGTCTTGATAGACATATCCTAAGTATTCATATGCTTCTCCTTCTGCCTTTTTGTCACCGATTTCGTTCGCTATGTTTGCACTTTTTTCAAGAAATTGCATGGCATCTTGATATTTTCCAGTTAAAAAGGAATTCCTGCCGACGTCGTGGTATGCAAGCACTTGCGTATGCTTATTTCCTAGCAATTGAATCAATTGAAGGTGTCTTTTGCTGTATTCTAGTGCCTTTTTGTAATCTCCAGAATTGCTACTGATACGACTTAGAATACAGTATCCTCTTGCTTCTGCCTCTGGATCTCTGCTCCTTATTGCTATGTCTGAACTTTTTCGGTAATACTTGTCAGCTTCAGGCTGATTTCCTAGCACCCAATATGCATTGCCTATGTTGCAATACACTAGCTCCTGCAGCTGTTCGTCCTCATATTCTAAGGCAATGGTAAGGCATTTGTTATACCTTTGGAAAGCTTCCTGGTATCTACCTATGGCAACGTAATCATTTCCCAGATTGCAATACACTTCGGCCTCTGCTGGCGCATCGCCGTTCTCGACAACAATTTCCAATTCCCTTTCAAGGCATTCAATCGATTCTTTGTGGAGATTCATTTTCCCATATAAGTCTCCCATAATGTTGTATGCCTTGCGTTGACTCTCTTTGTCATCCATTTCAATAGCCACTTGGAGATATTTCTTGTAATATTCAAGAGCCTCCTTGTAATTGGTTGACAAAGAGAATAGCTCTGCAATATTAGAGTACGCTGTTGCTTCCTCACTAGTGTCTCCAATTTCTTTCGATATTTGGAGAGTTTTCTTGTGATATACGATTGCTTTTTCATAATTTCGTAAAGCAGTGTACGCCCTGGCTATATTGCTGCTCGCCTTTATTTCCTCCTTCCTGTCCCCTTTATGCACAGCAACGTTCAATCGTCTTTCATAACAACCTATGGCCTCTTGATATCTTTGTAACTTGTGGTAAGCAATTCCCATGTTTGCATATGCGCATTCCTCTCCATATTGGTCTCCTATTTTTACTGCTGTACTTAAGCTACTTAGGTGACTTCTCAACGCTTCCTCATTTTTCTGCAATTCAAAATAAGCATTTCCCATGAATCTGTGTGCCTCTACTTCTCCTTTCCTATCTCTTAGTRTTTTAGCCATRTTCAGGTACTKTTGAAAATAGGACACTGCATTGCCATACTTTCGCATCACGTGACTGTCGATTCCTAAGTCCAAGTAGGCTGTTTTCTGTGCCTCTTTATCTTCATACCTCATAGCGGACTCTAGGCTGTTATGGTGATTTTTGATTGCTTCTTGATASTTTTTAAGCTGAAAGTATGCATTTCCRATCAGACGATAAATCATTCTTGMCTTGCCATCRTTGCGCAGGCTTCTTTCATAGTATGAGATCGCTTCCTCATATTTTCCTAATGCTACATAGGAATTACCTAAATAGTAACATGCCCTAGCCTCTACGTAAACATCCTTTGCCTCAGATGCCATGGAAAGGCTTTTTCCTAAATATTTGATCGACTCGCTGTAATCTTGCTGGCTATTGCCACTTACAAAGTAAGTATTTCCTAGGTTGCAATATGCCATTCTTTCTATGTCACTGTCACCCTTCCCTTGCAATATGTGAAGGCACTTCTGGTAATACTCTATCGCCTTCTTGTAATTACCTAACGAGCTATGTGAGTGAGCTATCTTATAATATGCTCTTCCCTCTTGAATACYTAGCCCTAACTCTATGGCAATATTTGCCACTCTCGTGTGACATTGAATTGCTTCAATGAACTGTTCTAGWGATATATATACTTGGCCAAGGCTGTCTCGGGAAGAAATCTCTTCGTCTTTGTTGCCTTTCTCGACGGCTCTTTTCACTTGGTCTTTGTACCATTGGAGGATTGATCYATTTCCATCCATCGTGCAGCTGTTAAAATAAAAAAAACATGATATATAATTGTCACATAACTTGATAAAGAAAAAAATCAATGTCATTATTGCTTCAAAATRTCCTTAAATTGAAGAAAAATACCTAGMTCATCAGTATTTTGTAGTTTCGGTTCCGAGGATCGAAAGCTTGACGTAGTTGGAAAACAAAGCTCGAAATAGAAGAGTTTTCGTTGCCAAACTATACATCAACCATAAGTTATTTTGATCGCTTCGAATGTTTTTGTATTCCCAGCTAATAATACAGTAATAGAGGGAGATCACAATACCACTTAGCTCTATTTGGCATACTAGTTCAGTTAATTATTTGCAGTAGCTTTAATCATATAGCCACTAAAACAAGCCCCCCTCGATAATCCCGTCATAATCCAGAGCATATATGGACTTCTGACAAGYTGATTACTTAACCACACGTAACGCAAACTTACCAGGATTAATCAGGAATCAGAATCAGGATTAATCTTCACTAAAAATACTGCAATCGTCTTCCAAAACTTCGCCTTGAAAAATATGGCAGACAGAATTAGTCTGTTGTATCATATCCTGATTCTTATTTCTGTGAAATGACGTTAGGATAGGACTAATTTATTAAGCACCGCTTTGAAGAGCTCCACTCATAATCATCAACACTGTTATCAAACAATCGAGTRTACACTTCAGTGAATCGCTTTCCGGTAGAGGCATTAGCAACAATAAGRTTGCTTTTATGTTATTATTACTTGTCAATCCGTTGGTAAGGCCATCTGCATATTTCCCATTCCACAACTGACGTATAACATTTGAAACTATACTATCTATTAACTAAGCTTGTTAGCTAGCTAATTAGAAAGGCAGAGTCTTTCGAGTTTCTTTGATATAATTTGAATATATTCTTGATTTGTACTAATTGAAGAATTAAATTTGTTATTTGATTAATTAATTAATTGTTGAGTTATTTGAGTTTATAACGCTTGAAAGCGTTTTCATTCCATATTCATAATATTAATTACATCTTATATTAAACGACATTGTCAACATTTCACAGTTACAGTAGCGTATATCCATTTTTTCAACTTATAACACTGAGACCTTTATAATGACCATATATACATGTATCAATTTCTTTCCGTATTCCATTCGATATCATACCGATTTGATCGGTTCCTTTTGATTTATAGACATTCTTATCGAACATGTTCCGTCAAACGATGTTTATGCAATGTTTATTCATCATCGTCAACGTGTTGATGTGAGCAGTTAGTTTTTTTCAGCGCAAAGGTCATCTTCTTGGCTTTGGAGACTTGGATCGACTGCGAGACGACGAMGAAGAAGGCCGCAAAGGATACTGGGCTAACGTCACACGTCGTTCTTTYGCGCTCTTTTTGTCGGATTTCTTACTTGATTTCATAGCAGAGCCTGGTCTTAGTAAATCTTGAATTTCTTCGTTCTCTTTCCCAGAGTTTGCTACAAGTGCAAGGCACTTAGCAAGATTTGTTTCCTCGAGGTCTTTTTTCGATAAAAGATGCATAATATCCTGACCGTCTTTGAGTGGGTTCAACCAAGTTGATTTACGTACGTCTGATAGCTTCATTCCAGTCCCTTTAGGTACGTAGATTTGGAARAGAATTTCAATGGCCTCAGCTTTTGTTAGACTTTTTCCTTTGGGAGATGCTAACAGAGAAGYAAAGTAAATGTTATTCGGGGTTTCTGATGAAATACAAATGATTATTTTCAGATATTTATTCTTGCTGAACTTACATTTCGTTACAATTTCGATGGCTTCATCGATTTCTTTCTGTGAAGGCGCGTGTCCAACTGATTTAAAATACTCTTTAATGTCATTATAGCTAATTA